GGATCGGGGCGTACATTCCAAAAATGACCGGCCGGGTCGTTACAATCACACTCGGGGACTACCATTTCGAACAAGTTCGAAATGTTGTCGGGAAACAAGTCCAGGAGACACACCCGAAGGCTACGGCCAAATTAAAGGCCACGGCCATATAAAAGGCTACGACCATACTAAAGACTACGGTCATATAAAAGGCTACAGCCGAAATAATGCGACTCGGAGACGTCCGACTTCCGCCATAAATTAAAGGCATTCAAACACTTTGAAAAACCCGGTTAAATCAGGCTACCATCGGCAAAAGTAAAATATAAAGGGCTTCGATAAATTCAGCCATCGAATAATTTAAAGGCTTCTATAACATTAGCCTTCGAAAAAATCCTCAAGGGTTATTCGATTATGTTTACACAGACTAATTAGGTTCCGATTCGTTGAACCTTCGAAAAACCCAACGGGTACGAAAAACACATGCTAAGACATGATATTTTCACTAAGTCTTTTAGCCGAAAAGAGGCAAAAATTACATTGCCACTCTAGAGGTCGAATCGGCCCAACTTAAAGAGCCTAAGGGCCAACTTAAAGAGCCTAAGGGCCGATATATAAGAGCCTAAGGGCCAACTTCGAAAGGCTTAAGGGCCAAAACATATAGTTCGAGACTCCGTTCTTACTCAACTCGGACTCGAGAATCCCGACATCCCAAGCCCACATCGAATCGATTTAAACTTAGCTCGAGGATTATTATATTTATCGATAAAGCCTAAGGGCTAACTTTATTTCGAGTTCGAGCAAACACTCACTCGACTACTAAGCCCAAGGGCTACGAGTTCGAGCAATCTCTCACTCGGGGACTATCTATAAAGCCTAAGGGATAACTTTATTTCGAGTTCGAGCAAACGCTCACTCGACTACTAAGCCCAAGGGCTACCCGAGTTCGAGCAAACTCTCACTCGGGGACTATCTATAAAGCTTAAGGGCTAACTTTATTTCGAGTTCGAGCAAACGCTCACTCGACTACTAGGCCCAAGGGCTACCCGAGTTCAACAAAACCCTCACTCGGGGACTATCTATGAAGCCTAAGGCTAACTTTACTTCGAGTTCGAGCAAATCCTCACTCGACTATAAAGCCTGAGGGCTATTTTCATTTCAAGACCGAGCGTATACTCACTCAACCATCAAGCCCAAACCTCATCTACTATTTGGCGTAAGATCTACTCAAACTCAAGTTCAAATGATCATTCAGGGTCCTTTGATCAGAAACGGTCAAGGGCTATACTTATTATCGACCATAACCATCTCAAAATTGTGGACATTCAAGGGGAATTTTATGCTAAGACACTCTGACCCGCACAAAAGGGTAATAGATTCCGGAGCCATGGAAGGATAAAAGTTTTGTATAAACCTATTTACAAGGGGCGGTCAGCCTCAAAAGTGAAGAATCACGAAGAACACGGAACATAAGTAGTGCGATCTTTACTGACAGAAGCATCTTCACCCTCAGAATTTTCCCCACCGCCGGACTCGCTAGAGGTCTCGGAGTCGCCTTCGGAAAGGGCTAGCTTCCAAACTTTGTTTCCTCAGTCGCTTACGCCACGATGATGATGTCGTAACAAATCAGGGTAAGGATCAAGGACTCAATTCGTTTCTTATCATCCTACTCTAAGAAACGCAGGGATTATCTGTATACGGTCGGAATCGTATGCCCGCGATCTATAGGCTCGAGGGGTCATCTTGAGCCCGAGTTCAGGCAAGGTCGAGTTCGAGCTCGAGGGACCAGATCCGAGCTCAAGGACAGAGTACAGTGCTCGAAGATTGAAGCACGATGTACACCGAGGCCTAGTATGCTCGAAATTGAAATTGTACCGTTGAGGATTTGTAACAGAATGAGCTAGATTCCTGCCACGTCCCCAAGATCATGGCGCAAATCTGGGGATAGGATTGTACGGTTCCGTACTAGGCGGTTAGACAGCTGTATTAAGAATATTCTTTACTGTAAATAGAAACATACCTTATTTAGGGTTCCCCTATTATATAAGGGGACCCCAATCATTTGTAACATCATCTAATCGTTGAGCAAAGAATATACTCTCTACTTTTTGCCTACTGTTCATTAGAATTGTCCTTTGCTCTACTACTCTTACTTTACTTTTCTCGCTTAATTATTCTTACTGCTCTAATCCCACCTCGAGGTCGCTGCTGCTGAGTTATATTGGTTTGATTCACTTATTTCTTTCACTTCTACTTCATATTTCTAGATTATTAATTATTATTGAATCTAATCAGATATCTTTAAAATCACAAATCAAATTTAATTGTTACTCGTAGTTTCGAGGTAAACAATATTCTTTCACACTGGAAACAACATTTGGAGATTATTCAAATATGAAGTTTTTTTTGTTGCAATCTAGTCTATTATTTTAACTTAAAAAATCAGATATAGAGAATTAATATATTGCAAACGTGGTTGAATCACAGAAACTTAAACCTTTTTCTAGTGAAATTTGAAAAAAAGAAGAGCATTTGAAGTTGAAATAGAAAAGAAGGTATATGATAAAAAAGAAACGATATTTTGAATAACATCAAAAACCTTTTGTTTCATAGTTTAGAACGAGATAATAGTAGACAAAAGAAGTTTGTAAACTTATTAAGAAGGGTTTTTGGGCCAAACACAGTGGAGTTTAGTGAAATAACAAAAAATAATTTCTAATAATGAAAGTATGACGATTAATACCGAGGAAAGAACTATATTTAACGACTATTAGCTTCCCGATTTTCAAGTGTCAAGTCCTGAGGGCTTGTGTCGGTTGAAAGCTTCCTTTTTTAATTCCTACACTTATTTATCAAAAAGCGTCCTAGCTTAAGGTACTCACCTAGCGAAGTTTATCCTAAAGAAAGTGGTGTTAAGTATTGTTTGGTGTTTTTCTTTGAAAATAAAATTGGATAACTCTTTATTTTTCCACCCATGCTTTTCGTTAGCCAACAACCAATAAAAGTAATTTATACTTCTTTATTACTCTTACATGCAATTAAAAGGAACGAGGCCAAAAAGTCGAAATTGAACCCGACGAGTGAATACTTATTGATATGAGAAAATCTCACTTTATATTCATTAAATTCAAACTATTTACCCTTAAATATCCATACCTAAACTATTTACTTTTCCTACCTATGCAATCAATACTATTTACCCGCCCACATAGTTTCTATATATCGGATCCAAGTCACATTATCAAATCGATCCAGCACTGCAAGAATCGATTGGGGGTTTGAACACGCAAAGGGCATTACTACTCCATTGGTCTCCATTGGTAAGTGGTAACTTTTCAGTAAATTTTGCAGCATTAACACGCAAATGGCATTACTACTTCATTGGTCTCCAATTAAATGTAGCTAATATTATTCTTTGATGTGTAGATTGTACCTTTGATGCTGGTTTTTGGAGATTTATTGTACAAAAATTTAAATCCACCATTGACGGACCTTGAAGCTTGAAACTCATAACTTGGTTTGTTTGAGTTTTTAATTGTTTTGATCCGATCCTGTATGGGTTAGTTTGGAAAGTTGATTGGAGGTTGTAGCTAAAGTTTTAGTCAATTTGGTGGAGATTTTGTAGTAAATTTTAGAAATTTGGGTTGAAATATAGTTGAACCAGAGAAGAAGACGAATTTGTATTGTATACCCAAATAGTATACAAATATACCATTTTAGTATACAATTCATTCCAACTATATATCCTATTAGTATAGCTATATACTATATTGGTATCATATGTTAGTTGAATTATTTTTTGGTTGTTTTAGCTGCATTTAATTGGTACAATATTTGATTTTCTTTTAATAATAGTAATATAGTACAATATCTTGAAATACCTTATATTAATATGTGGTACACTATTTTTTTTTTATTTTTCTCTTTATGCATGTGTGTTATGTAATAGTAGTATAGTCATATAGTTGCCGGGAATTAACTAGTAAAACTGTATACCATGTTGGTATAGTTATATGCCATATTGGTATCATATGGTAGTTTGAACATTTTTTTGGTTGTTTTAGCTGCATTTTAAGTGAATTTTATTATGAAATTATTTATATCAAAATGAGTTGCAATAATGCTGGAATTTTTGTGTGCCGATGGACATAAATTATGTGTATTAATAGTTTTTATAGTTATAGTCAATTGTTGGAACGACCCCATAAAACTATATACCCTCTTAGTATACGAAATGAGCAAGTTGTTTTGCGAATATTTAGTTTGCAATACGAGCATGTAATACTTCTATTGCGTCCTTTGATGTTTTGGTAGAGTAGTATAGTCGCAGATAGTTGTAGCAATATTCTAGAGAAATCATATGCTCTTTTGGTATACATATATACCATATTGGTATCACATGGTACTAAAAGTCTTTTTCGCTACTTATACTTTTCTTGTATTTTTTAATATTTTATTATCATTTTTATCACAAAAATATAGTACTAAATTTCTTTCTTTACTTTAATGAATCCACAATAAAGCCAAAAAAGAAAACATTACACTATTACGGGTGTGTTTGGTATGAAAGAAATATTTTCTAAATATATTTTTCAGTTTTAATTTTTATATTTATTGGTTTAAAGGTTCAAAATTTTACAAGTTACAAAATTATGAGTTGGGAGGTTTATGTGTTTGGAAGTTATTTTCCTTAATTTGCGTACCAAACACCTACATCTTCTTCATTTTTCCTCCCTTTCTACAAGCTCATTTTCCATTGGTTTCTATCAGTCCAAAAATGGTTGTTGGCTTGGATATTACCACAACTCAAGAATTAGGAAAATCCGGATTGGTTCTTGTCTTCTTGATGAAAAAGCGCCGTCTGTGGGGATCGAACCCACGACCACGTGGTTAAAAGCCACGCGCTCTACCACTGAGCTAAGAAGGCTGGTTGCTTGAGTGTTGGATATTATAAATAATAAAAAATAAGTAGCAAGTAGTATTTCCAACGAGCCATCTCCTTCGATCTTTTCATTTTTATTTTTGTGAGAAGGGCAAAAAATGCTTCTCCTAGAGGAAATAGAATAAATTTGCAATCTGTTTGAATTTGGTCTCAAATATGTCTCTACAGTCAGTGAACTGCTTCAAATTTCCCCTCAAACCCTCAAATTCATTGATCTAACTAAAACTTGCTTTTTACAACAAAATTTCGCAAGCCGGAAAACCCACTTCCGCCATTGAAATCATGGAAAAAACTAGGAGTAATATATCAAACACCAAAGAAAATCTGAAAACCTCAAGAAGCAGAGTGCTACCAAAATCTCAAAATCATACACAAAGCATTCATTCTCGGAAATGACGATGCCTGTTATGAGACTATGGAATGTAGCTGAGATGGGAAATTTTGTCGGTAAGAGCATAACTCAATCATATAAGTAATACTCTTTTCTCCCTTTTTTTGGTTGTAAAAACAATCATATTTACATAGAGTACATTCACCTCATTGTCTTTCTGTCTCTCCTCTCTCTCTCACAAATCCTTAGTCGTCTCTTTTTCTTTTAATACAGTTATGGATAGCGAGTTGACTCAGCTCCAAAAGGACCAGATGGAGGCCATTCTTGGGTCTGAGTCTGAGCCATTTGAAACCTTTATTTCGGATCACATAGAGAGCTCCGAGGAAAAAGATTCGGAGGCTAAGTCAATGTTTGAGATGATGAAGCAGAAGGATCCTGACTCCTTTGCTCTTAAGCTTGCTGAGTTTCTTGGCCCTTCCCATGACCTTTATTACCGTGAAGAATGTGCTGTTCTCCTCAACAAGTTGCTTACTGATGACGATGATGACGACTTATGCACTTGGCGCGATCTAAGTCTCTCCACTCAATCCACCATCAAATTTATAATGCTTAATCGTATGAGCCTGGAAGAATCAGAATTCATCATCCTAAAGCTCACTAACATAGTTTCGAAGCTGGCTGCTTCACTTCTCCCAAATAACAAATGGCCTGAATTGTTTCCCTTCTTGTATCAATGCCTCACTGATGATTCAACTTCAAACAACCACTTAAAATTTTGTTCTTTCTTAGTATTTGGGATGCTAGCTGACGACATAGGCGAAACAATAGTCCCTTGCATAAAGAATTTGCACCCACTATTCCTTAATACACTGAATGATGATACCCTCTTTCTCAACGCGAGGATCGCTGCCACAAGAGCTGTGATCAGCTTCATTCAGTGTGTACCGGCCAATTCAAATGAGAATGAGCGGTTTCAAGATCTATTGCCAGGTATGATGAGGACATTGACTGACGGGTTGAGCATAGGTGATCAGGAGGATCTAGCACGGTATGTGCTGGATTTTTTCATTGAGTTGGCGAAGAATGAGCCTAGGTTCTTTAGGCGGCAACTAGTGGTTGTTGTGGGTTCAGTATCAGATATAGCAGAGGACGAGAAATTGCAAGAGGGGACAAGGCACTTGGCAGTTGAATTTTTGATAACATTGGTTGAGGCTAGGGAGAGGACACCTGGGATGATGAAGAAGTTACCGTTGTTTATTAGCAGATGTTTTACAATGTTACTGAATTTATTACTAGATATTAAGGATGACCCCGCTTGGCATAATGCCAAGGACGTGGATGATGATACAGGGACTACAAGTAACCACCATGTTGGTAAGAAGTGTTTAGAGCGGTTTTCTATTGCATTAGGAGGTAAGTCTATTAGTTATATTGCTATAGAGCAGCTGTGTGCTTATGCGGCTGCCCCAGACTGGAAGAAGCGCTATGCAGCTCTGTTTGCACTTGCTCAGATTGCTGAAGGTTGCTCAAAGCTGGTACAACAACTGTCTTAGTTTATTTACTATGGCTATGGTTTAATTATAACGGATATAATATATTATTTCAAGTTGTAGCATTTAGGAGGTGTTCTTTTTTCCTCTGGCATACCGCGTAAATTTATAAGATAGTTTGCCCCTATTACTCTACCTGAATGCTTTACACTATGTTTATTGTTTGAAGTTATCTCTTTGATTTATTTATTTTCATAGGAAATTACCTCAGAATCATGGCTTTCCTTTGCTATTACAGGTGATGATTAAGAATCTGGAGCAACTAGTGAATATTGTTCTTAATTGTCTCCAAGATCCTCATCTTCGAGTCAGATTGGCTGCTTGCGAGGCAATTGCCCGGTTGTCGAAGTTCTTCTGTCCAAATTTTCAAGAACAATACCATAACCAAGTAGTTCCTGCATTAACTGCAGCTGTTGATGATAAACATCAACGAGTGCAGGTTTGTCCTATGTGATATGTACTATTCCGGGATGCTGCAAGTTTTCCAAAGAGCAAAAGCAAACTAAAAGAAGATTAGATTATCATTGAAACATGAAACAACCAACAAGGAGGTCTCAAACCATACAGTTGAAGTTCTTTAATACCCATCTAATTTTTAAAATTGTATTTTATTATATTGGTAAAGTCTATTTAATTTAATTTGTAAAATTGTGTTTTAATCCATAAGAGAATTTTGATTCCACGGCTGCCGGAGTTGGCTCTTAATCAAATCGCTCATCTTATTGCATTCTGCTAGATCTTTTTGAGATACTCTGAGGAGTATCTTTCCTAACAGGTCCTCAAGACCTCAGCAATCACTGTTGCCTTTCCGAAACATGAGGCTAATTAAGGATGTATTGTGCGACATCCCGTCTAGAATTTCGTACAATTAGTTTTGTTTTATTATATCTAATACATTGGCTTCGGCTGTATGTTTATGAAAATTTTATTTGATGACATTATTTTGGTTGCAATAAGAGCTTTCTTGCTGAATTACGATAACGTTTAGTGATTGTAATATATGAAATTATAAAGGAAGTAATTATTACTAAATGTCAGGGGAGGTATCTAGAGAGTACCCTTAAATAAAGTTTTGAAAAAATGCATAAGCTTAAAGATATGGTAAATGTGAATCCAGTCAGTTGCTGATGCCAACTAATTTAGTCCTTTTACTTTTTTGGCTTTTTTAGGCATGTGCTGCGGGAGCTCTCTCAGCTTTCTGTGGGCCCGTCAAGCCAGAAACTTTGTTACCTTACCTAGATGGAATAGTTAACAAACTGCTTGTACTTCTACAGGTGTGCGAATATAGAGGCCACCAAATTACAGAGGTATGTCACTGCCAATAAGTGCAAGAGACTAATAGTGTCTTTTTCGGCTTTTTCTTGCTTGAAATGCAGAATGGTGAACAAATGGTCCAAGAAGAAGCATTATGGACATTGTCTCGTCTAGCTCAATGTGTTGGGGTATTAACTGGTGCATTTATTCTTGACTCAGTTCTTTATGCTTATGTTATCAAGCATGAAGGCTGATATATTGTACGTCAACAGGAGCACTTCCGGACCTATTATGATACTGTTATGCCACACTTGAAAGCTGTATCAATAAAGACAGATCTTAATCTCATTCTTCGTGCCAGAGCAATGGAGTGCATAAGCTTTGTTGGGTTTGCTGGTGGCAAGGAGAAATTTAGAGAAGACGCAGAGCAGGTCCTCTTACCAACTATTCCCAGTACTGAACACATATTTATTAAACACCTACATTGATGCCATACTCATAGGGTACAGAACACATCTTTTTTAGTTCCTCACTCATGGGATGGTAAACACGTATACTGATGCCATTGACTGGGATTGCTTTGTGCTTGTGTCATTTGTTATGCTTTGTAAGATGGATTACTCTTGTTTGGTTTACTACTTCTTTCAACAATTATGTGCAACAAAATTATGACAGTGATATCTGTCCGCCTCTCTTGGCATTGTTTTTCTTCTCTTGGTGTTTGGTGGGGTGCGCTTATTGTCTTTTGGTCATTTCTCAACATAGAACTTACTTTTTATTTGTTTCCTTTTTTGTTGTTGTCATTAAAGGCTATGGAAGTGCTTATATCATTACAAGGATTACAAACAAATAGGGACGATCCTCCTACTAAGTACTTGCTAATAGTATGTGTAAATCACTTAATTTTAAGATCAGATTTCTTTTTAGATTGGCCGCCTTTTATTTTCTTAATTTCATTGCAGGCATGTACTAGAATTTGCAATTGCCTGGAACAGGATTTTCTTCCTTATATGAGTGCAGTCATGCCGTTTATGATTCATTGTGCTCAACTTGAACCCGCTGCGACTAGCTTTGCGGGGTTGGTCCTGCGCGGCTACGCTATGATATTAGAGGAAGACTTCTACCCATGGATTCCCCAGGTTGGTGTTGCTCTCAAATGCACACACACAGTCGACAAGTAATAAAGAAGTGAGTCAAGTATCGTTCCTACGGGGACTTACGATTAACTTTTAACCATATTAAACTAATTCTGAATATCTAAACTAGAAAGGTTGCTTGATTATTGAGAATGATTATAACTACTAAAAGTTTGAAGCAAGGAAAATAATTTGATCAACACACACATAAAGGTTTTGGATTCTAATGGGAGATAGTATTCTAGAGTTATGGTATATCTAACAGTTGAATTCGACAGTTAAATTGACAGGAAAAATTTTACCCACAGAAATATCTCAATTTCTACTCGCCTATTCATACCAGGAGGTCACGGGTTCGAGCCTTGGAAACAACCTCTTGCAGAAATGCATGGTAAGGCTGCATACAATAGACCCTTGTGGTCCGGCCCTTTCCCGGACTCCGCGCATAGCAAGAGCTTAGTGCACCGGACTGCCTTTTTTTTTTCTTTTCTTTTCTATTCATACTAGTGTAACACCTACATGTCTATGTAATTAGAAATAATAAGAACACATTAATTCCTATAAAACAATTAAGAAAGGCAATTAAGTATATTCTATCTTAATTATGAATCAGGTCCAAAAATTTGTCCTAATCAATCCTATTACAATCAAGAAATACTTTTTTCAAGTTCACTTCAAGATTTGTAGGATAGTATTCAATTGAGATAAAAAATCAAATAATTAAGCTCAAGATTGAATAAATAACCCAATAGAAATCAATTTGTCAAATCAAAATTCAAATATCAACAATCGTGTTGAACCATCAACCATAATCATAGAAATAAATAAACTAGCCACTCATGCTCATCAATTTGTCAAATAAAAATCCACTCAGCTTCAGACCCAGAGCGCGGTACTCGCGCTTTAAGCTCGAAAATAGCTCTGCTAGAACTCTCGCTGCGAGGATCGCCTCGGGAGCTCAGGTTCTCTTCCAGGTCTGTAGCACGTGATGAAGCGTGCATTTAAGGGACTTTACTGCAAAGTGTGAAATTCCAATACTCAGAAATTCCTCCCCTCTCGCGTTCTGCGAGGAGATTTTTCTAGCCTGGTTCCATCTGGGTGCGATGGTCATGCGTCGCCTGGCACCTCTGTAGCCCAAAATTTTCCCCTTTTCTTTCCAATTTGTTTTAAAATACCGCTAAGGGATTCCATTAACTACTGGTCCATGTAAAAACAATTATTGAGCATAGTTGGTCATATTTAACACTAAATTCATCAGAGGAGGGGTAAAATTGGGAGAAATTTAACACAAACACATTAAATATGCCCAACATCATTTGGCATGAATAATCACCTTCCCATTTTCTTTTTTCTCATGTGCTGTTGAGTGAGGTCAAATTCAGCAATTGATATCAATCGCTTACTGCATGAATCAGGTTGTTTCAGTCTTTGCATGAATCAGGTTGTTTCAGTCTTTGTTCCACTTTTGAAATTCTATTACCACAACGAAGTCAGGAATCAGGCTGCTAAAGGTGAGAATTCTCGTGATTTCATATGGTTTCTTTGTTTTCATGTAAATCCTCCAACTGCTGATGCCATTTTATTTGTTTGTTTAAGCCATGGCCCCCCTGTTGCGTTCTGCTAAATTGGCTGTTGAGAAAGGCATTGCTCAAGATGGAAGTGAGTCATATTTCACAAAGTTGTCAGGCGATATAATACTGTCTATGGTAGAAGCTTTGCATGAGGTTGTCCTTAACATCAGTACTTATGTTGTTTCTTATTTTCTTTTCTTTTTTCTTTTTGGGTGAGGAAAATGTTTAAGTTCAGACTATTTGGATAAAGAGAAAGTGACACTTGATTTATTATCTCTTGCAGGAGCCTATGACAGAAATATGTGCAGTCATGTTGGATGAATTGAATAGTTGCCTGCAGGTTTGGTTATGTCTAACAGTCTAAGTCAGTTTCCTTGATACTCTTGATCTAAGTGTGCAGTGTTTTCCTATTTTGTGGTATCTTTCTTTTGAGCTGTTCATGTTCCAACTTGATCATACTGTTGGCCTTTACATTCCACACAGTTAATAACTTCAGTTTCTTCTCCTTCAATAGAGATCTAAACAGAAAACTCGTCCAGACTCTATCAGTTATATTCTACTAGAAGCAAAAGAAAGCTTAATACATCTCTTAGACAGAGGAAGACACGGGGATCAAGTAAAGTAGGAGCTCTCTATTTAATTCTTCCTATGTGTGTAAATTTATACCTACAAAGACATGGTTAAACTTTAATAAAGTGCTATTGAATCAAATTTACGGCAGATAGCGCAATCACAAAGTTCTCTTGGCATGACTAGGTAAAACTAGTGAGTCTGACAAACAGGCTATTAACTTTGTCTTAGATTGACTCTATAGAGAAAATTCTTTCCAGTAAACCCCTGTTAATTCAACTTATATATGGCTATTGTTTAAACTTTCCACTAGTACTGTCAAAACAACAAATAGCAACAGTGGCAGAAAAAAGGATACGATTTTCAGGTTCTGTGGTCCTTCTGTTTCTTCTTTCAGATCTGTGGCCCACTTCTCAATGAAAGTCAGCTTCGCCTTATTGTGGATGAGCTAAAGCATGTCATTACAGAAAGTTCAAATAGAAAAGGAAAACTCGCAGAGAGAGCAAAAACAGAAGATTTTGATGCTGAGGAAGCTGAATTGCTGAAGGGTGAAAATATGCAAGAAGATCTAATTTTCTCCCATGTATGTTCCTTTTTTTAAGAATGAAGTTCAGATACAAGTGGCACACTGTTGTCTTTGTGCAGTCTTTCACTTTGATTCTGCAATTATTCTTGAATAAGGTAAACTTTTTTATCAGGTTGGTGCAATATCGGATACGTTGATAAAAAACTTCAAGGTTGCTTTCTTGCATTTCTTTGACGAGCTGTCATCATATCTTTTTCCTATGTGGGTAAGTTCAGGGCATGATAGCCACATTCATTCTAGCACTCTGGTTTGTTTAGTTATCTATCTTATTGTTTATTTTTTAATTTTTCTTGCTTCTATGAAGGGCAAAGATATAACAGCTCAAGAGAGATGTACATCAATTTATATCTTTGGTGGTCTTGTCGAGGAGTGCCCTGAAGCGGCTCTAAAGTGGGTTTGTCTGTATGCGTTTTTCTTAAATGGTTGGAGTCAAAGTTTTGAATTTTTTTTAATTTCCTATGTCAACTAGGTACTGTGATGTATTTCTACCTTTGTTCTTGGATGCAAGCAATGACAAATGCCCGACTATTAGACAGGTTTGCGTATCTTAGTGGTTGTCGAGTGATTTTTTTATTCAAGTTTCTCACCATATGATTTAACCAAATACCATTATGATGTGCTTAGTGTGCTCTTTATGGACTTGGGCTTTATGCGGAATATGGTGGTTCTGTTTTCAAACCTTTTGTTAGAGGTATGTAACATTGAATGTGATATTGAGATCCTTCTCATCATGTGGAACTGGACGACAGTAATACTGTATTTTTGTATTTACTAAATATTGTGACATGATTCAGAGGCTACTTCAAGGATCAATGTAGTGATAATGCATTTTCGGGCTCGTGAACTTGAGAATGAACATGCATATGATAACGCTGTTTCTGCACTTGGTAAGATATGTCAGTTTCACCGGGAAAGTATTGACTCAGCCCAGGTTTGTCCTTATCAAATCCCTAAAGTTTATATGTTTATGCATTCTTATGACTTAATGGTCATTTATACTTGGGTTGGAATTCTGAAATGTAAGGTGTACATTTAAGGTCTTTAGTGCCTACTTCATTGCATGTATCGACTAGTTTGAAACCTGCAATTAGTTTTTTTATCCATCCTAATATCCGTCTTAAAGCAGTTGCATTAGTCCTATAACTTAACAATTGCATTAGAATAGGATATAGTAGTGTGATGAACTTCATAACCATACTTGTACATATCTAGAAGAGTTTCCAGTAACTCCTGTCTTACTTATTTACATATTTCATCCTTTATTTGGTGAGTGTTTTAGTTAACCCGACAAGGCGACAAGAATATTTTTGTTCTATGCAATTTAATTTGATTAATAATTTAATAAGTGATCAATATGCTTGTAGCTGAGATGAGGATGTTGGAATGAATGTGTGGGCATACCAGGTTGGATAAGATTAGGAATGAAGTTATTCGAGATAAGGTGGGAGTGGCCCTTTTGAATGATAAGATGCGGGAGGCGAGGTTGCGATGGTTCGGGCATGTTAAGAGGAGAAGCATAGAAGCCCCAGTTAGGAGGTTTGAGAGGTTAACCTTGGTGGGTATGAGGAGGGGTAGAGGTAGGCCAAAGAAGTCTTGAGGAGAGGTGATTAGGCAAGATATGACGCAACTGGAGCTTACTGAGGACATGACTCTTGATAGGAGGGTGTGGAAGTCAAGGATTAGGGTAGAAGGTTAAAGGATAGTCGAGCGTTTCCCTTTGTCTTCTTCAGTTCGACAACATTAGTGTTAGTTTGTTTTCCCTTTGTTCTTAGATTGTTAGTACTACCATTTAATTGCTACCTTGGCTTCGACCCTCTTTTTATCTTCTTGTTGTTTATACTTGTAATAGAACAAGGTATGGAAAAATAGTTCATATCTTATTCCATGAAGCAATCTGTACATATACATGTACAAGGATTCTAACTATGGAAATAATCAAAAAAGGAAAAAGGAAAATCCTATAAATATGCTATCAAATCCCTAAAATCATGTTATCATGTATATTACAAGGAATATGACTACATTCATTCTATCATGAATGTGGATTCCCTACAATTATGCTATCATGTTTATTACAAGGAATATGACTACATTCATTCTTTAACACTCCCCTCAAGCTGGAGCATAAATATTGATCATGCCCAGCTTGTTATAAAGGTAATCAACTCTGGTTCCATTCAATGCCTTAGTGAACAAATCAGTTAGTTGCTCTCATGTCTTCACGTAGCCAGTGGAAATCAAGTTTTCCTGAATTTTCTCACGAATAAAATGGCAGTCGACCTCAATGTGTTTAGTTCTTTCATGATACACCGGATTTGAGGCAATATGAAGAGCAACTTGATTATCACACCAGAGTTTTGCCGGTGTATGATGTTTCAACCCAATTTCAGTTAGAAGATGATGTATCCACATAATCTCAGACGTAGACTGTGATATAGCTCTATACTTAGATTTTGCATTGGATCGAGATACAACATTTTGCTTCTTACTCCTCCATGATACCAAGTTTCCTCCAACAAAAACACAATAACCTGTAGTAGATCTTCTATCATTTTTGGATTTAGCCTAGTCAGCATATGCAAAACACTCGACACGAGTATGGCCGTGATTGCTATACAATATTCCAAGTCCAGGAGCTCCTTTCAAGTACTCCCTCCGGTCCACAATAAGTGACCAATTTTCTTTTGGCACGCCTATTAAGAAAATACTAAATTCTATACAAAAATACTTAGCATGACTAAACTACCCTTAATTAAATATTTAATGTGAGGAGTAAAAAAATTTTTTAGGGATATGTACATAAGGGTAAATTTGTACAAACAAATTGAATTTTTTCTTGATTATATAAATGGACACTTATTTTGGACCAAAATAAAAAAGCAAATTGGTCACTTATTGTGTATCGGAGGGAGTAACATAGAATATGTTCCAAAGCTTCCCAATGTTTGACCGTAGGTGCGGACATGAATTGGCTAACAACACTCACAGCAAAAGCAATATCTGGACGAGTCAGAGTGAGATAGTTCAACTTTCCAACTAATCTCCTATATCTCTCGGAAGAATTCCCTTCATGCTTCTATTCACTTCTACTACCAAAAAGTATCTCAGTTGGCCCAAATCCTTCGTATGAAACTTAGTATGCAAGAAAAACTTGAGGGAAGAGATTCCCGCATAGTCACTTCATGTGAAAACAATGTCATCAATATATACAACTGGGAGAATAGTGCCAACTGCTGATTGCCGATAAAAGATTGAGTGATCACACTTGCTCATTTTCAGTCTAAACAATGAAAAAAACAACGGTTAGTCATAAAAACCTACTACCAACAGAAAGCGAGACTGCGTGCCAATACTACTGTTATGAACACTCTAGGCTACCTACTCTACTACCGTAATCCTCGACTTCCATGCCTTTCTATCCAGGGTCATGTCCTCGGTCAGCTGAAACTGTGCCATGTCTTGCCCAATCACCTCTCCCTACCTCTTCTTTGGCCTACCTCTACCTCCCCGCAGGCCCTCGAATGTCAACCTCTCACACCTCCTCACCGGCGCGCCTGTGCTCCTCCTCCTCACATGACCAAGCCACCTAAGCCGCGCTTCCCGCATCTTGTCCTCAATAGGGGCCACACCCACCTTATCGCGATTAACCTCATTTCTAATCCTATCTAACCTGGTGTGCCCGCACATCGATCTCAACATCCTCATCTCTGCTACCTTCATCTTCTGGACATGAGCGATCTTGACTGGCCAACACTCAGCCCCATACAACATCGTCGGTCTGACCACTACTCTGTAGAACTTACCCTTAAGTTTCGGTGGCACCTTCTTGTCACATATTACACCGGAAACGAGTCTCCATTTCAGTCATCCCGCCCCAAGATGTGTGACATCTTCATCAATCTCCCCATCCCACTAAATAATAGACTCAAGGTACTTAAAACTTACTCTCCTCGGGATGACTTGTGAGTCCAGCCTTACCTCCCCTTCCCCTTCTTGAGTCTCACCACCGAGCTTACACTCCAAGTATTCTGTCTTGGTACTGCTCAACTTGAAACCTTTAGACTCCAGGGTCTGCCTCCATACCTCTAACTGCGCGTTCACACCGCCTCACGTCTTGTCAATCAATACAATATCATCTGCAAATAGCATGCACCACGACACCTCCCCTTAGATGTGGCGCATTAGTACGTCCATCGCCAGGGCAAACAAAAAAGGGCTGAGTGCCGACCCCTGATGCAACCCCATCATAACGGGAAAATGATCCGAGTCCCTACCTACTGTCCTCACTCGGGTCTGTGCTCCATCATACATGTCCTTAATCACCCTAACGTAGGCAACATGTACACATCTAGCCTCCAAACATCTCCACAAAACCTACATCGGAACTTATCGTTTGCCTTTTCTAAGTCGATGAACAACATATGCAAGTCCTTCTTCTTCTCCTTATACTACTCCATTAATCTCCTAACAAGGTGGATGGCTTCTATAGTCGAACGCCCCGGCATAAACCCGAACTGGTTCTCGGAAATAGACACATTCCTCCTCACCCTTAGCTCTACCACTCTCTCCCAAACTTTTATAGTATGGCTAACCAGCTTGATACCCCGATGGTTATTGAAATTTTGGATATCACCCTTGTTCTTGTATACAGGAACCATCGTGCTCCACCTCCACTCTTCGGGCATCTTGTTCGTTCTAAAAATGACATTAAATAACATAGTGAGCCACTCCAAGCTTGCCTTGCCCGCACTCTTCCAAAACTCCACTGAGATTTCATCCGGCCCGGTCGCTTTGCCCCTGCTCATCTTACGCATAGCCCCCTCCACTTCATCAACTCTAATCCGCCTACAATACCCAAAGTCACACCGACTCCTAGGGAGCTCCAAATCACCCGATACAATGCTCTTGTCCCCCTCCTCGTTCAAGAGACTATGAAAGTAGGTCTGCCATCTCCGGCGGATAAGCCTCTCATCCAACAATACTCTACCTTCTTCGTCCTTGATGCACTTCACTTGGTACAAGTCACGACCTTCCTTTCTCGTGCCTTGGCTAACCTGAACAACCTCTTATCCCCACCTCGGCCCTCGAGTTCCTCATACAAAGGACTAAAAGTTGCAGTGTTGACCGCCGTAACTGCTAGTTTTGCCTCTTTCTTAGCCAACTTATATTACTCCCCATTCGCCCTCTTCTCCTCCTCATCTACACTTTCCACTAGCTTCAGATACGCCGCTTTCTTGGTTTCCACTTTTCCTTGCACCTCTCCATTCCACCACCAGTCGCCCTTGTGACCACCAGATTAACCCTTTGAGACCCCTAATACCTCTCTCGCGGCTTCCCTAATACAATGCAGAGTCGTGGTCCACATAGCGCTTGCGTCCCAACTACTACTCCAAGCCCCCATAGTCAGCAGCTTGACCCCCAAATCCTGCGCTTTAACTTCCGTCAAGGCTCCCAACTTTGATCATATGTTGGCTATACATCGCCCTCTTCCTCCTCTTCCTAGTGATCTCAAGGTCCTTGACCAGGAGCTTATGAAGGGCGGAGAGGTTCTCACTCGAGATGACCTTGCAATCCGTGCAAAGACTTCTATCGAACTTCCTGTAGAGTAAATATTCAATCCGAGTCTCGGCCACCGAACTCGGAAGGTGACCAAGTGCTCACTCTCTTCGGGAAACTCGAGTTTGCTATCACCAAATCAAATGCTCTAGCAAAGTCCAGCAGAGATGTTCCTCCTCCGTGTCTATCTCAAAAATCAAAGCCACCATGCACATCATCATACCCCCCAGACGTCGCTCCAATGTGGCCGTTAAAATCTCCTCATATGAAAAGCTTCTCGGTATGCGGGATACCACGCACCATCACATCCAAATCATCCCAGAAACGCCTCTTGACTTCCTCATCCAAGCCTGCTTGGGGTGCGTACCACTGATT